GCCAAAATCGGTCGCAAATGCCTCCGCAGCCAATCACGCGATCTCCACGGCTGGCAAGAGGGGCTTGCGATCGGTGGCCGCCACGCCCACTTCGAAGGCGTTCAACTCCCTTTCGCGGCTTTCCAAGGTGAGTTTTTTGTTCAGTCACACTTCTTATGTTCTTGACTAGGGCTAGCGCATCGTTCCACACCATTAGTGTCGAAGGTAAAACCCTGCTGGGACTGTTGCTTCAAACGATAGGTAGGGTCAAGGCGGATAATACATGCTGACAGTAGAAATTTATTTGTGAGCGCATAAATAACTGCGATATGATACTTTGACGACCATGTGGCATAAAGTGATGTCACAATCTCGTTTCAGCTGGTTTTCAATAGTTTCCTTGTTACAAAAACCGTGGCCCAGAAAATAAACTCTGCTTGTTGAGTTGTCGAGTTTTGAAGAAATGCATGAATACTGCACTTTTGCGTTTAGAATGGAAACCAACAATATAAATAATGCTTGTAATAATAATTTGACGAAGTATATGCGCAATACAGGTAGTATCCTCTTGTTCGCGCGTTAGCTTTGCCCACTTTTGCGCGGTCTCAAATCACCGAAATTGCTGAAATTGCCAAAATCGCTCAGAATGACACCTGCACACAAGAAAGATAAAGGATGAACAGTTTTCCAAAAAATGTGTGCTCGTGGGACGGTGCGACATGATGTCGTGTCACATTCACGCAGCCAGAAAAAGGCGCACGGTCCCACACGCAAGGCAGCGAAAACGAGCGGTCAATGTGTTATGATAGACTTTGTTCACGATCAATGTAGTCTTAAGATTGAATTGGCTCTTGGACCTGATGAAAACAGAACTCCCACAGTGCTTTAGCGACAATGATGTAATGAGAAAGAAGGCAATCAATAAACCAATAGGGTTGAGGTGATATCTTTAGAAAGAAAAAAAAAATTTTAAAAAGAAACGGAATCGCTATCTAAGAGATGCACGTGTATACGATGCAGCTAGCGAGCCCTAGTTGGCAAATACCTGGTTAATATATACTCGATATCCGACAGTTGGGGTAGGCGTGTCACCGGAAGTGACGTGCACTTGATAGAAGCTATGTGGATAAGCTGCTTCTTAATACCCATGCCATCCGCTGGAGTAATTTCTAGCAAAAGCATGGTGGCAACAAGCTTATCCACGCAACCTTCTATAGTGCCACTGCACTTCCGTGACACAACCTACCGCCAATCTTTCGGAATCGACTGACCTTTCAAGACTAGAGCAAGCATTAGAAAATTGCCTGCCTACCGTAATCTGCTTTCGACCCACCATTCACCATAAGTGCCTTTATCGCCTCAACGAATTCAAATTTTATGATCAACAAGAATGCGCCCCACTCAAGACATGGTAAATGACCAATCTCTGTTCATCTAACGAATACACCCTTCTTAGCTGGCTATTTTCATAACATTTTGAAGCCAAATCGGTAGAAATGGAGGATCAAATTGAATGCAAGCAAAGGTACGCTACAGTGGTAATAGTGTGCGTAAAAGGAAGTCACGCTGCGACGTCCCCAACTAGGGTGTTACGTCTGCTGCGCCTACTACGGCGCGCGTTTGCAAGTATCTTGACGCATGAGTGTGTAACGCAAGTTTTTGTTTCGGAAATATCATATGAAAGTGCAATGGTACGCTGCAATACCAAATCTAGGCAAAATATGAAGATTAACAAGCGCGACGTCGCACAGCAACCTTCTGCCAGATACACCGAGGAGTGGCCCTCCGTGATGGCGCATAACAACACTTAAAGCAACAGTTCAGGAACGGTTTCGCGGGAAAAAACCACCAATAATGAAGTTGTAGATGAAAACCAGACGATTAATGTATGAAAAACTGGAAAAAAACGTCGGGGAGGGTCTTAGACAGGTACTCTCCCTCTGCCGCTCAGCAATGGATAAAGACGCACGTTGGACGAGTTGTCTGAACGTGCCCGCTGTAAACGCGCTCCATTTTTCAATCAATTTTCCCTGTGGTCCCAAAACGAGCACGATTGCCGACGCGTCCAATGACGGCCGGCAAGGGGGCGGGATTGGGGAAATCCCCAAGAACACCCATGTTTGAGGGACTTTCCACCCTGTTTTTGAGTTTCTGAGGTAAGTTCGTTTATTATTTCCACTGCATATGTTCTTCACTAGGGCTCGTGTATCCCTCAGTAGTAGTGGCATTGAAATTTTCGGACCCTCCCTGAACTGTTGCTTTAAGACCACGGAAAGCCAAGCTTTGTGTAGCTCCCATTGCTGATAAAATGCGCGAAGCTCGGCTTCGATGGTTTGGCCACGTTCTTCGCGGAAATGATGACAGTGTTCGCAAGATCGGCCTCAACATAGACGTGCACGGAAAGCGGCCCAAGGGGCGCCCGAAACAGCGCTGGCTCGATACGTTGCACGCAGACTTGAAGTTGGTTAACATCCACCCCGACCAAGCATTTAATCGGGAAAAGTGGCGACAGCACATCAGAAAAGCGGACCCCGCCAACAAGCGGGACAAACGCTGAAGAATAAGTGAGAGAAGAAGAAGTCGCACGCACGGAAACAAAAAATAAAAAAACACTCGCTTTTTTGAGTAATCACTGGAAAAAAAAAAACAAAAACAAAGTTGGAACTGAGGTGGCTCACCTAAAAGAAAGGCCTGATAGTTCTCAATGCAAGCTAGCAGATTCTCTGATGTGGCCCTAACTGACCGAAACAGAGTTAATTTCGAGTCGAGAGATGCGTCGGACGCTTGAAGGTGTTCATCTTCCTAAAAATATGGATTAAAAACTGAATACAAATGTTCGAGCGAGCTTAAATAGTGAAGAAGTACACCTGACGTGTAATGAGCGATAGGTTCGAAAAAGCACTTCCAGTCAGCTGTTAGTAGTTACGCAGTCGATAGCCATAGACTTTTAAGCTCGTTTACCCAATGACAATCGGTGTTATGCGTGCACGATGGCATCGTTTCCACTTTTTCCATCGATATTTATTAAACCTTGAGCAACGCCACCAGTGGTAATGAACGCACTGTTCTTTGAACCCGAAAATGTAAATGGATCGCTATGAACAAACTAGTCTGCGTGCGAAATGTGGCCCACCGGCGGGCCACGCCGTCGTCAGTAGCGTCAAGGGGTTAACTATGCGTCCGGTGATCAGGTTGATCACGGGCTACGTTCCGACCCTCCGATGCCTGCAATGTTAGATTGTAGTCAGAGCTCTGCGCTTGTATCGCGTGGACCACTGGAAACGACACACATCGCTCTCATCGGGTGCGACCGCGATGCATCGCTCGGCGCAAGAAGTAGGAGCGATGGTCGAGTTGGCCCGCCTCTGGCCAGCGATCGCATTGAGCAGACATTCAGCCATCTTCCCCTGCCGACCGATATCGATCGTGGGCGGAGGTGAGGCCAATCGCCCGTTGCTCCACTCTTGCTAGGCTGAGCGATTGCATCGCGGTGGACAAGCGATGGAGCGATCGCTTCGCTCCGGCACTGGTCCATCGCGATGCAATCGCAGAGTCTGACCGACATCTTATGCGAACAGATAGGTACCGACCATGAAATCTTGCGATCGCGCTATCGTGCGATTGTAAATCGCACAATTGCACAACCGCAAAGTCGCAAACGCTTGTGATATGCGTCGCAAGTGGTATTAGGCAACTAATTGGGCTTACTTATAAATATTTTGAGACGAAAAAACGAATGTGCTTCTCCACAGCAAGCATAATAAATTTGAGGTAACGAAAAAAAAAACGAAGAAATAAAGACAACGAAGAATGATAAATGAAAAGCGAAAGATGGTACACGGCCAAAACCGCGATGCCTGCCCTCTGCGCGTTACCGCCGCAGGATCGCGAACCATGATCGCCACTTAACTTATGCGTACAAAGAACAGATCACAGATATATGCGAACACAGAAATTGCACCTTTGGAAGAGAAATTTCAAATAATTCATCCTAAAGTGCTTTTCAATTGGCTTACCTTTTTGCCGAGTTTTGTTCTCAACAGCTGCTTGGCTGTCCAGTAATGTCGTTTCATCGTCACCAAGGTTGACTCGTCAAATTTGTCAAGGAACCGGTCAAAATTCATACCGCTGCAAAAAGTCTTTTCATGTAAAAAATTTTCGACTGGATCAGCCTACCCTAAAAAAAACTAGGACAAGCTCGAGATGAGAGTCGAGTGACGACGACGCAGAGGAGGGGCGATAAAGCAATGTTTTTCGGTCTCAAAGATAAGCGAGTCTCGGGAAAACTCCTAACAATCGCTCTGCCTTGGCGATAGAAAGCAATAGAAATAATCTCCGACTTTTTGAGCTTCCCTCTTCCTCAAAATTTCATTAAACGTTTTTTGAAACAAGCTCTTCCTAGTTGCAGAGATAATGCGAAGTAAATCCTAGAGAAAAAGTCCGGTCCGAAAAAGACTTATATAAATAGTAGCTCCTCCTGGAATCTGATAACATGCATCTTACGTCTTTCTCTCGCATTAATTGCTAGCTAGATGGCCATTAGGGTAATCGCTCATTAACTCCAAGACAATCCGAATTACGGCTCGTCTGACGTTAAGGGCTATTCCGTGAAAAACCTTCCACGATAATAGCACTAGATGACGTCAAATTCATTCCGAGATGTCGTCAATCGCGTTACGAAATCAGCAGCCGAATTTAGTTTGCTCCAGCGTTCCAAGAAATATCACCGCAATTTTCTAGTTTCCGTAAACGATCCAGAGAGCACGAGGCTCGCCGCATGACTACAGAGGGGAAACACGTGGATCGCAGCACGCACACAGCAGACTTCTGCCACGTACATACACTATATCCTGCTGGTTTCTCCTGATGGACCTGACGTAATCGCAGACTATGCAACATGACATTCGATAACATCAAGAGCATCAGTAAGCATGTGACATTGAATGCACGAGTGGTAGTCGTCGCGTGCGATATTGAATCTGCACTGAGTCCGGTCGCGCAGAACAGTGTAAGATGGAAAGAATAAGAACCGCACATTCCTGCTTTTGCCCCACAGGTGGCTTACCCACCCCACTATCCATCGTTTGGTCCCCTGCATCCTCCTTGGTTCACGGGCTCGATTGTTGGCAATGTTCAAAGCACACGGTTCTTAACAAACTGCCTCTCTTGATAAAACATGGTAATCGTCAGGTTGGTCTGCATTTTTCACCATCTACTAAGTAATGCCTAAGCAATTTAATGTCAAAACAACAAAACGACATCATTCCAACATAGAAAACACACATCTCTAGTTAGTATTTTGCGCAGGGCAGCAGAAATAATTTACTATTGGGAACATAAACAGACAAAAACCCCCCCCATAAAGCTCAATAAACAGGTCTGGGCGAATTCGTAATCGTGTTGACTGCCACCTCTTAAAAATTCGACAGCATAGATATAATCTATCTTGGGACAAATCGTACGACGGGCAATGATACAGATTTTAATGGGCGATGCGATTTAGTTCTTAGGCCGATGTCAGACTTTGCGAATCGCGCGATTCGCTAGCGTCTGCGGTCGCGTCGCGGCCAGTGAATCACTCAATTGGCTGGTACCGCAACGCGACCGCGGACGCTAGCGAATCGCGCGATTCGCAAAGTCTGACATCGGCCTTAGCGCTCGCAGGATGGTCGTCCGACAGCAAACAGTCGTTCGGTGCGACCGCTAGCAACGACGACAATCGACATCGGTACCACCACATGCTGTGAGCACTTCGATGTTTGCTTCTCGTACGACAGACTAGGTGCCCTTACTACCAGACCACCGCGAATGATGCGCCCTCTGTCTAATTTTTTTTCGGTGTGACCCAGTATACAGAAAAGGAAGGACGCTGGGTCTTCTTCTGGTTTTTCCGCATGGTTTTCCACTTCATTTGAGTTGTCGGAGCACCAATTTCGAATTTTCTCCAAAGTTGTCCATAATAAAAACAGTAATCCAGCAGCAACAGCTAAGGTTTTACTGATAATTAATGCCGTTTAAACTATTGTGCATTTTGGACCAAACGCCGGGCAGGTGGGTCCTGAAGTGCAAAAGAATGCTGTAGACCACACAAGGTAAATAATATGGCGTGGAATCATTTAATTCCCTCGTTTTTTGTGCACCTCGCAAACTTGTCCAAGCAAAGGTGAATTCATGACGTAAGGTTATTGGAAACAACTCCATATCGGGAATTACATACATAAAATTCTACAAAAAATCCAATTTCGTACCTGGTATTGCTCTCGTAATGTCGTGTCGCCATGGTGCCAGTGGACAGAATGATGTAGAGCAGAAAATGGAAATAACCTCAGTCAACAAGTCGATCGATATTGGCCCTCTATGACGTCATCGGGTCAGAAACAGCTGATCCGGCATCCAGTGCAGCCGCGCTGGTGCAGCAACGAATTCCTTGTGTGGTGCCCGTCGGCGGTACACGTTATCGATATTTGTCGGGCTGGCCGGCTGCCAAGCCCCGCCTCCTGTCTGAGCTTCTGCTCGCGAGCGCTTTCTTATTGAGGCATAATGGCGTCGATTTTCGAGAGTAAAACAACAAAAGAGCATGGTTGAGACAGCGAATGCTCTTATGGACGAGCTAAAAGCCCGAGCATTTACTTGGAGGGTGAAGCAATCACCCTTTTTTCTTAATCATATTTTATTATTCGCTCACAAGGCACCAGTGACCATGTTAGAATGGAAGCTGAAAACAAAAATATGTGAAAACATCCCACAATTGAGGTTATCGAGAAAGAGTAGCCATGTGTTGGAGAAGTGCAGAAAATAAATGACTTGTAATCGAAGCACTAGCAAAGAGAGAGTTAGTAGGGTGTGGTTCGCTAGGACAGGAAGCGCTTTTCCGCTTTTCGCGCGCGGAACTTTTTTCGTTACGAGAACCACAAGTCCACCAATGATCAGTAGTGGACGTGGGGTTCCCACAAGGAAAAAAAGTTTCGCGTGCGAAAAGTGAAAAAACGCTTTCCGTCCTAGCGAACCACACCCCTTCTACTACATAAGTCGCCGCGCGACGTCGCGCCGCAGGCATTGCGAATTTTACATCTCGCTCGGGTGTTGAGAGTTCCGCGTGTATTACGGCACCTATCTATCCGTATCCGTGCGACTCTGTGTACCGATCTGCAGATGTTTTCACTGCAGGTAGTATGTACCCTCCCTTCCAAAAACGAGGAAAGCATCGAGTGCAGACCATACACCACAAGTGACGACAGCCTCTAAGTAAAT